TACAATGTTTTTCCTCCATGCATGGATCTTCTAGGGAGGTGGGGCTGCCAGAGGTGGTAAGTAGCCCCCCGCAAAGTGTACTACTGCGGATCAATGACACACTTTTATGTTTAAAAAAGGTTTTGAACTGTTGCCCTGTCTCCAAGTTACCTCTGGTTGCACAATGTTTCCTAGATTTGTAACATCTGTTAGAATTAGAATAGTTGGCTTGGCTTACTAAACAGCATGTATGGTATTAACATTATTTATTAACAGGGCTGAATTTATATTTCCCGCCCCCGGTCATCTGTCTTGTTCCAAATTTCTAATTTGGACCACAAGAACGTCTCCTGCTTTTGAGGAAGCGACAATGCTACCCTAGGACAGGACTACAAATGTCTTCCCCTCTCCTGTTCTCTATATAATAAGAATTAAACACTAGCAGAGAGCACAGGAACTCAGACATCCCAACTCTCTCGGACACTCCAGGAGTCTCCCGCTATTAGATAGCGGCTCCCGGCAGCTCCCCGAGAGAAACATTTTCTCCCAGAAAGGTTTACTTTGCTCGATTTAGAAGAGTAAACATTTCCCTGCAATCTGTTGTGTTTTTGTTTTGTTTTCTGACATCGGGGCTGCCGTCAGAGAAAAAAAAAAAAACAGCATAGGAATGAATAGCCGGATTCCTATTGGCTATTTCACTTTGCAATATCCAATAGCAGACTAGCTATTACACCAGCCCACTGCTTCTGTCAATCAGCAGAGGGGGACCTGAAGTTCTCCATCAGGTCCTCTTCTAGTGATTGACAGCAGCAGAGGGCAGGTGCAATAGCCACCTTGCTATTGGATATTGCAAATTGAAATAGCCAATAGCAATCTAGCTATTCATTCCTATGCTGTTTTTTTAATTATTATTCTGACGGCAGCAGCTGTCAGAACACTAAAAAAAAAACCCAGCAGATATCAAGGAAGCTATTGCTTCTCATGCTATCTGCCATAATTTCAGGGGGGTGCCCTCGCCCCCCTCCCCCCCCGCACCTCCCTGAAATGAAAAGGGCACCTCCCTGAAATTGCTTTCTCCAGGTTGGGATCCCTGGGAAGTTATCAGCCAACAAGATTTCCGGCGGGATTAACAGGTATTTTTTAAACAATTTTTGAAGAGATATAACAAAACACTGTCACTGATCTATTTGACAGACCAAAAGAGACGATACAAGATAAGTTGAATCTTGGGGTTCCTTCAGACTGGGTTCACACCTGGGCGTTCCTAATAGGCGCGTTTTATGCCCGTTTCTGCCCTTGCGTTTGTAGCACGTTTTTGTATTCAATGAAACGCGCGTTCGACGCGTTTTTTAACCTCCCTGGCAATATGATTTTTTCCCCCTTTTTTCTCTATATGATTTTCGTTTTTTTAAAAACTTTTAAACTTCCCACCGGTTCCGCCCCCCTGCGACGCGGACGCTTGCAAGGGGGCGGAACCCGGAAGACAGATGCCGGCAGCGGCCGGAGGACACAGCGGGGATCGCGGACAAGGTAAGACCTACGCTGTAGTCCCGAATGTGGCTCGGGGTTACCTCTTTGGTACAGAACATTAACCCCGAGCCACATTCGGGAATACCAATGGATGCGCGCTGAAATCGGCCCCTACGCGCGAAAAAGAAGCTCAAGTACTTTTGCGCGCGTAGGACGTTTTTCAGCGCGACAAAACCGGCTGAAATACGCCCAGGTGGAAACCATGCCCATAGGGATTAATAGGATTTCACTTCTTGAAAGTTTTTCAGCGCTTCGATCAGCGCTGAAAAACGCCCAGGTGTGAATCCGGCCTAAATGAGCGTTGTCCATAAACAGTTCCACCGATAATCAATATCAGATTATTGGCAGATTCCACTATATGTATAATTCTGTCCCCTGGTAGGGTAAACCTTCATTCCCCGATCACATTAATGTTTATATATCAGATAAAAAGACATAACACGGTAGTTTTGTTGATAAAGCTCTAAAAAAGAATAAATAATAACGTAAGAATTTTTTTTTTATAAGAAAATTGAATTTTTAAGTTTTGAAAATAATGTGGAAATTAATATAATGATATATTTTTATTTTCATGTTTTTTTTATTTGCGTGCAGTAAAAAGCATATAGACTTCAGCGCTTGGAAACAAACAGAACAATGACAGTGGCCTTATTTCAACTTTATTTTCCTCTCCTCCCCCAGAGAAGAATTATGAAGGTTTTCACCCCCCTTAGTGATTGAGGAGATCATTCACTGACTTCATCTAACATCTTCTGCACAGGAGGTAGGGATAGGTGAGAGGGAGCGAGGAAGTCTTGGCTCACTCTCCATTCTCCGAAGCTTGGCATTGGATAATATTTTGAAGATCTTTGGATAAGGGTTCAACAAACGCGTTGATCCACCTCAAGCTGCAAAGCGCGGCCATCCTTTAATGACTTTGTAGAGGCTATCTCCGGGACAGCTTGTGCTCATCACGTTTCGGTGTCCCTTCAGGACATAGTTGCTTCTGATGAAGTTTTTGGCCACCCCGCAAGCGATAAGTTGCTTTGCAGCATTCAGGGCTGCATTGTTGGGGGCGCGATCTGTATTGGGTAGACAAAGAAAATAATTAGTCATAATTGTAAATGAAGAACTTTAGTGGCAGAAGGAAAAAATGAAAATACAAGGGGGAGTTACACCTTTCCAAAGCTTTGTTGGCTTCTACAGTATATGATCTCATGCAAACTTTTCCATATTATTATATCTGCTGAGCGGCTACACTTGTGTTGTATTCCAGCCAGTGCCAAATTGCCCACAAGCCCAACCGAGACCCGGCCCCGAGGCGGCAGGGAGCAGAGGGGCGGCAGAGGTGTAGAATCTCCCAACGCCCGGGACTTGAAGTTCCAGTCGCCGGGAGGGTAGTTGTTTTCTACATTTAGCTCTGCTTTGGGCACGCAGGGCTAAATGTAAAAAGATTAGGTAAAAAAATAATAATTAAAATAAAAAATAAAAGGGTGATAAAAAAGTTTAAAAAAATAAGATAAACATTTTTTTTTTAAATACAAAAGTAAAAAATAATAAGCTAAAAAATTATTTAAGAAGAAAGTAAAAGATAATAAGATAAATAAAAATGTAAAACAGTTACAAAAATAAAATAAAAATAAAGAAAATAAAAAAAGTGATAAAAAAGTAAAAATAAAATAAAGAAAACATTTAACAAAATT